CGCGGAGGCTGCGGCGCGCGGGAGCCGGGGCCGAGCGCCGAGGCCGTGCGCCAGGACAGGAGGCGGAAGGCGCGCGAGTTCAGCGAGAAGGTAAGGCCGGGTGCATGGGCAGCGCCTGCGCCCACCCTCCCGGGCTGCGCGCAACGGGGACGCCCTTGGGGATTTCACACCCTGCAGCTTCATCTGAGCCGAGTGAAAAAAGCAGCGGCCGGATCCGCAGCAGGCACAACCCACCCGAGCTGCAACGCCGCAGCGAGCGCTGCCTTGGTCCCCATGCTCATGTGTTGGCCCGGGAGCACCGGCAAGAGCAACGCACGCGTACGGGGACCAGGGGGACTGCTCCTGGTTGGGTCAGAGCACCGTGGGGTGCAGGCTCAGGGCTGCAGTGTCTCAGCGAGGAGCAGTGTTACCCATATTTCAGTACTGGCGAGGAGAATAAATCAGTGTTGCCGAGAGCTTTGAGAGTCTCTTGGATGATCCCAAGTACTTACTACTTTTTGCACGATGCCAGCATAACACTAGTCAAGTGGAAACCTGCAGGGGCAAATCTCTTACTCAGGAGTAGCTGATACTCATTTAAAGTTTTAGCATCTCTTCCCGTAGAGATTTTAGGTCTTGTTTAGTTGATCAGTGTGATTACATCTTCATTGCATTCTTGAAGGCTGCCTAGTGGGTAGTTTACCAAACACTTTGCCTCTTGCTAATTATAAATTTGATCATGGTTGTTTTTTAATCTTTCTAATTTCCATTTCAAAGTAGCCTTTTAGATTACTGTTATGAAAACAACAAGGCTTGTGGTTTTTTGATCCTGAGCTAATAAAAGAACATGACATTCATGAAGAGATTCATGGGTATCAGCCGCGTCCCCTCAGCCAGCCTTTAAAGATTCACAAAATGCATTGAGATTTGAATTCATAAGGCAGAGCACTGCCCGTGAAACAGATACCCGCTGATTACAGGAGATTAACAACTGCTGGGAAGGCTGCTCCTCGCCGCCCCAGCCTTGCAGAGTCACATTAAACCATGTAAGCATTTCCCGGTGATCGTGGGAGGGCACGTTTAAGCACGCAAGCAAGCCGATAATTTTGCAGTCCTTTTCCACGCGATTCCCAGCAGGATTCCGTGGCCTTTGCTCTCTGCACTGCTGGCTCCTGCAGCGGCACCTCTGCCGCGTCCCTCCGCTCCAAGCGGACCCGGGGAGCCCGAGCGCGCGGGAGCGTGCGGAGCCCTGCGCACTGCCGGTGTCTCTCCGGGGGGAGTTAATAACTCGGATGGTATAAGTAGCTTAATTTTTATACGATGCACAAAACCCCACGAGGCAGCAGGCACCTGACACCCTGCTTTACCTGGTTGCTCTGTGCTCGCTGTGCTGCTGTGGAGAGTGATGCTGGTGCCCAAGGATGCCGGGAAGCAGCTCTGCACCCACGTGCTCCTGTCCTCAGGCTGGGAGGTCTGCGGCTCCCAGTTCTCGTGGCATTTGCAAGCTGTAGGTACAGATCCTTTTCCCACCCTTGTTCATTCAACAGAGTCCCTGTTCTAGCAGGGCTCACGTGGCAGACAGAGCCACGGCACCATCAGCGACATGAGTAAAGCAGCAGGGCCAGGACTTGAGCTGCGCAGGTTGAGCATCACAGCAGCACCAGAAAATGAGAGGTGCTCCCGGTTTCAGCTCCGGGTCAGCATCTCCCATTGCCCCGGCGCACTCGGGACGGTGCCGAGGAGCCGCGCTGGTACCAGCAGCCTCGACGGCACCGCAGCGCCCAGCCCTGGAGCTCCACGGGTGAGGGTTAACAGGGAGGGCCTGCGATTTGGTGCACAAACAGACCAAAACAAAACATCGAGTTATTTATCAGCCCGGTGCTGGTTCTCGAGACCAAAAAGCACATGGGTCTGTCCACAGGGAGACTGCTGCCTCTAACGCCCCAGATTCAGCAACCTTGAAAGGTCCGCAGGAATCCCAGCAGTGCTCACATGGTGGCTCTCGCAAATCGACAAGTACCTGGTGGTTTGTGATGTAGGTTAAAGAGCCTGTGATAACCCTCTTTGGAGGGCTTCAAAGTGGAACAAGCACCAGGAGGCAGCAGCTCTTTGCCTTTCTTATGTAAAGGGTCCCTCTCACACAGCACATCAGGCTGCTGAGCTGCCTTCCAGCTCCCTGCTCGGCTTTGGTGACGAGCTCAAAACGCAGGGACATGCCCTGGGAAAGGACAAGGGACAGCTCTGCCCATCCCACCCAGGCTTGCCAAGGAGGGGAGCAGTTAAACAGCACAAGGCTGTTAACTCACAGGAAAACACAGCCCTGCTGCGGGGTCTGCAGGCTGGTGGCAAAGGGGGCTTCCTGCATCCTTCCTTTTCCTCGGGTACTTGGTGAGGTTCAAGCAGCCTTTGCAGCAGCATCATGGAGCAGATCCTGCACCCACTGCCCAACAGAGCCACAAAACCAGCCACCAGCCCCCAGCAGGGCACAGGAAGAGGCTGGTCAAGAGGGTCCCATGAGCTTGCTGCAAGATGATTGGTTAGGTGCTAATTAGCTAATTAGGCTGCCCATTACGGCTGTCTCAGGTGGAGGGGACATGGCAGTGGCTAACAACTAATGAGCTGTCAGTGCTCACACACATGTTCCCTCTACCTATTTCCCTGCAGCCTTCCAAGAGTTACAGCAAGGAAGTGTCACCTGGATGGACCACAGTGTCATTAGAGGCTTAAATACCCCCAAATCCACATTGTGGTGCCCTCTGCCAGGCACCTTCCAGAATGATCTGCTGGGCCCAAGCCCAGCAGTGCCAAGGGCTCCCCGTGAGCAAGTGCAAGGGCCCAGCTGTGAAACGCCGGCGCTCTGGGTTTCGCTGTGGCACCGATGGTTTCGGTGCAGTGTTTATAACCCGCAGAACAGCGATGGCTGCAGCGCGCACGCGGCCCCGGTGATGCCCAGCGCTCAGTCGATGACAGTGTCACTTTCCTCACATTGATTCTCTTTGGTTGGCTGGGTGCTAAAAATAGACAAGATGTGTTTTCTACACACTCTGTACCCCTGCACGTGTTTCTTTTTTTTTCTCTCTTTTTTTTTTCCTGCTGCTTAACGTCTGTTTCCTCTTCTGCCCTTCTGCAGGTGGATGAAATCCTTGGAGACCAGCCAGAGGTAAAGGAGAAGGTTTTCACCGTCCTGAAGCAGTACGCAGCAGAGAGGAAGGTAGAATACTTGGCTTATGCCCTCTGCATGGTTCTCACCCAAGAGTCCCACCAGCTTCTTATTGACAATATCAGGTACAGAGCGTCAGTCCGCCCCTGTTGCTGTGCTGGTGGTGGAACACGGGCTGGAGCCGAGCGCCGGGGCGGGCGCCTCGGCCTTTGCTTGTGGAGCTCCTCTGCAAAGTGCCCTTCCCTGCTCCGCGAGCAGCTTCCCTTGGGAATGCTGGGGGTGCGGAGCGGCAGCTCTGCTTCCCAGACAAGAACAGCTTCCCTCGATGTCCTAGATGTCCTTCACTAGGTGTCTTGTCCTATGCAGGCAGGATCATCTGCACTAGAGGGAAGCAGCGCAGCTGCAACCGCCCGCGGCCTGGACCCGGCAGCGCTTCCCCTTCCGATGGG